TCTTATACACATCTAGATGTGTATAAGAGACAGGAGAGAGAGAGAGAGAAGGGACAGGGGGGGGGGGGGATAGGCAGGCAGAGGATCAACACCCTCTCCCTCCCGCTAATACCCAAAAGTTGATGCCATTCTTTTGCAGTCCAGCTGCACAGATGTGCCTGTCTCTTGAGTGGGCCAATATTCCTTGTATTCCACTCTTCTTCTATAAATTCACATGTGCCATCCTTGTGCAGGGGCCATGCTCATGTATCTTCTGTGTATCATACTGTCTTTCTCATTCTTTCATCTTCTTTTTCTTTTTTAACCACCAGTATATTGGCAGAGGGCCCCTCACTGAGACTTTTGGGGCCCGGATGCAACAAAGGCCATCGATGAAATTTATCAACAGCAGCCCAACCCCAAAGGTTGCAGTGTTTGGGACGAGTTCACTTCCTGCAAGGCTGGGGCCGTGTACTCGCGGTTTAAGAGGGCGACAACCTAGAGGTAATCGTCGTCGAACTGATCGGTGACGGCGCCAGGAAATTCTACATTGTTTTACTCGTTTGATTCCATCACGATTTGAACTCAGGTCTGTTTATACCACCTGTACCTCAGGGGGTCTTAGGCCCCCTCTGGGGAGGCTCTGACACAAATGCACATAAACCCGCCCGGCGCACCGATTCAGCCACTGCGTTCATGGCCTAAGAACGTGAAGGTACTGGTGGTTTATCAACAGTCCACGAGGTGTACCATTCAGCCACATGAGCTTGTCATCGTTCAAATTCCAATTCAGCCACATGGGTTTAAGAATGCATCTGGACAGGAAAACTTCTTGTATTCAACTGATTTCATTAACAGAATTTCCACTCCTGATCTGTTCATTAATAGTTACAAGTGTGTACAATTCAGCCACACGGTTCAACAACACTGCAGATTCTTTCTACTATCAACTTTACAAAACATCCTGCCCTCAACCACACACCCTATTCTCCCCCCCCTCTCTGCCCAGATAGCCAGTACAACTGACTGGTTAGGTGCCGTCCGAAGCAGTATGCACCCACATGATCCGAAAGGACAAAAATTTGGCCAGTTTAAAATTTTAAAATTACAAACTCGGAAACTAAAAATAGCAACGGGCGGCAAAGCCAGTTAAAACTACAAACTCCAAAACAAACAATAGCAACAAGCAGCGATTTGTCAAGCTCATGCAGCAGTCCTGCAGTCCCGTCAGTCAAGCTCATGTCGTGGTGGTCCCGCAGTCCAGCCAGTCAAGCTAATGTCGTGGTGGTCCCGGGGTCCCGCCAATCCAAAATGTATGCGCCTCTGCGAATGTACTCAGTTGCCAGCATTGGAATGCCAGTTGCTGTTTCTTCCTTCTTTGCCCGCCTCTTGAGTGCTTGGAGAGACGCAGAGACTCAGGCACAGTCGCAAACAGATACGTGTTTGGGGAGTTGCAGGTGAACTGCAAGAACAAGGGAACTTGTCCGCTGTGTGTGTTATGTATGCTGCCAATCAGACCGTTCACCCCCCTACCGACTTGCCGAGAGGGCTGGCAAACAAGTCCAGACACAGCTCCGAGCAACGTCTGCCTGCAATGAGACCTCCACACACAAAAAAAAAAAAACACAACAAACGGGTCATCGTCAATAACCCTTGTGTTGGGGCATCACTGTAGCAACCACACGCACTATTTCTCTTCCCCCTCTCAGTGCCAAGTAGCCAGTACCCTGACTGGTTAGGCGCCATCCCCAAGTAGCAAACCCCCAATGTAGAGTGTCTTCGTGCAGGCAGGCCCGGAAATCACCAGCCGATTAGGGCGTACTCATACCAGGCCTGTTTGAACTCCTCTATGGACGTAATCGCAGTCAAATACGTCCCAGAAAGTGCTACCGTGAGTATGCCCTTAACGGGCGCATGTTTAGGCCGTAGCGGTGGTTTCACATTTTCGCTTTGTTGCAAAAAAAGACCTTTCTTTCCCTAATCATCTCACAGCCCAGCCCAACAAGAGAAAATACTGAGAAAGTTCCAAATGCAGCAGTTTTGTCTGCCACTGTGTAACGAGAATTCCCGGTTAAAAAAAGCCACAAAAGGCCTGGGGCTTCCAGTGCAGTGTTTTCGCGGGGATAGGGGATGGGGGGAAAGTAGTAGGGGGGGGGTGAATGCAGGTAACGACAGCGAGGCATGTCACTCGCGCCATCTTGTTAAGGAGCTAAACTACCTTGAAAGGCTTGAATTGAATTGTGCTTGGCCAGCCCAGTGCTGAGTCGACAAAGATCAACCGAGATTCTTCAATTCTTTCTTCTGTTCCTTTCCTTTATCTCTTTTCCCTGCTTTTTCCCTTCCTTTCTCCTTCGAGGTTCCCGGTTAAGCGAACCACACAACCATATTAATGAGGACAAATCGTAGGCTGGAACTACAGCAAACCACACAACCATATTAATGAGGACCGGGAAACAGATTTAACACAACTATCATTCTTTTATCCAGCGCCCATCGTTCTGTGGAGCGATTTTATGAGTCGTTATTCTCCAGCGGCAGAAGTGCTGTTAGGAACAGAACAACTTGAGCAGAGCAGGGACGACGTCCCACTAGCAAAAAGAATAGGATCGAGCGCCTGAATCTGGATGTGTTTTATGCAGAGATGCAGAAAAGCAGTTCAATCTCCATTTCCTGCACATCTCCATAACCTCGTCCAGATGCAGGAGTTCGATCCGATCCTCGTTGCTAGTGGGACCACGCCCCAGAGGGTGGTAACCATCCTGCTGACTACTCCTCTTGGTCCATGCCTCTTCTAAACAGAGAAAAAAGAAAAGAAAAGAAAAGAAAAGAAAAAAAAGAAAAGAAAAGAAGAATGACAGAGCAATGGTCACCATTGTCTATGCAAAAAATTGGCCAACCCCCCCCCCCAGAAATGTATTTGCCCAGTGGCACCGTCAATGTGCGTCAATCTTGTGCAGGATGCCCAGTGCTGTCGAAACGGAACACTCTCCTTGCGTTGGCGTCGTTGTTTTTCCTCCTTTTTTTTTTCTCCCCCTGTTTTTTTTTTTTCCCCTTGCTTCCTCTTTCTTCCTGTTCTTCCCCTTTTTCCCTCTTTTCTCCTCTTTTTTCCTCTTTTCTCCCTCTTGTTTTTTTTAATCTTTTTCCTCTCCTTTTTTTTCCCTCTTTCCCTTCTTTTCCTCGTTTTTTCTTTTGGGTAGGGGGGGGGGGAATTGTTGACATACCCCTAAAATTAGGCTATTTCGTTAGATACCCCTAAGACACAAGGGTACGCCGAAATGCCCCAAAATTCTGCATCTGCCCCTGTCCCGATCATCGGTATCTTTGCCATATGCCCTGGCACTGGTCTAAGGCGGCCCGTGCGTTTCTTTGGTGAACTGCAGGGTCAAACGGACAGAAATACCTGGGCATATCGACAAGTTGTCAAGGGACCGGTAGGGGTATATGCAAAAGATGACAGCTCCAATTGGCGAGTGCGGTATTTCGCAAAGTTTCTCGACTGTCGTAGGGGGCATTTCACCGTACCCATGCCTTTCAGGGGTATAGCTGACGAAATACCCCAACTTCCTGGAGCATTTCACAAATTTTCCCTTTTGTCACTTTTCCTTCCTTCTTTTCTCAGGGAGCCAACGTCTTCCCCCCCCTTATTCCAGAATTATTTCTAATGGAAGCCAATCAATCGAGAATTGGGGGGGAAACATATTAACAAAAACGGAACAGAAATCTCCACCGAAGACAGATTTCTCCCAATCAAGAAAAAGCCATCATCGTCCTACCCCCCCCCCCCCCCCCCAATCACCATCCGTATCTCGTACTTTTATTTTTCGGGATCTGATTATGCAACTGGAACCATCCACCGACAATCAACCAATGTACCCGTCTTCCCCCGAATGGAACGCCCACTCATTATCGCTGCATCAGGACCGAAAATTGGCCCAAATACGGATATAATGACCGGGCGTTCTATTCGAATGAAGACGATAGTGCAAGTGGCCAACCGTCACATTCAATGCAATCCGGTCTTACATCCCAGATGACGGCAGACTACTTTTCCGGAGGGGGCAAAAAAGAAGGCCCTCTCTACTTCACTAGCACGTCTTTGTACCTCATCCAGTGCAAGAAGTGGCAAAAGTGATTAATAAAAATAAAAAAAAACATAAAAAAAGTAAAAAAAGTGGCACAGGTGAGCTCCCCAGAATGGATATGGAGCCAGGGCCATAAGGACCTGTTTTTATTCATAAAAATAAAAAAAGAAGTGGCACAGGTGAAGAGCATGGAGAGAGAGGAAAGGCAGAGAATCCTTGGGTAGGAAAACTGCCCACCCACCGCATGTGACTGAGTGCTACACAAATGTAGCTGTTCATAAAAGACGTTAGGGGCTAGCACAAATTCATAAAAAGAAAGCAAAAAAGAAAGAACCCCGTCCCTTCATAATTTCTAGACAACCTTCTCGTCTTCTTCCCTCCCCTCCGCCCCCCCCTCCTTCCTCCGCCCTTTCCCCCCCCCCACGGGGCCAGATTAGAGTGCTATGAATAGAATCTCGGACGCATCACGCTCTCTCTCTCTCTCTCTCTCTCTCTCTCTCTCTCTCTCTCTCTCTCTCTCTCTCTCTCTCTCTGTTTGTGTGTCTCTCTCTCACATACACACACGCACGCACACAGACGGACAACCCCGGGGACATGGAGAGAGCGAGGAGAGGAAAGGAAAGGGATGGTTTGCCGCAATCTTTCGTTCGTTCGTTCTTTCGTTCCTTCGTCCATTCGTTCCTTCCGTCTCATTAACGAAACAAATGAGATGCGATGCGTAAAGTCTCTGAGGATCCCAAACAGGTCGGCCAGCTCGGCGGTCGCTGGCTAGGGCGAGCGGCCCTATTTTCTTGTGGTCTTCCTGCTGATCGAACATTGCTTACACAGTTTTCACTGGTTCGGAACAAGCACTTGAACAAAGAAACAAGTACCAATCAGCGTGTAGTTGTTAATGGGCACATGCTTCTCTGTACTACAGTAATTCGAATGAATGGAATTAGCACAGCCAGGAAATCAAATTGTTAGCGGAAAACATCAACTTGAAAATGTGTTACTAGCAGTAATAACAGCTCACGCTTTCTTAATGATCTGTGCGCCGCTGTGCAAGAGCACGAGTGTACTACGGTGGCAGGCACTCACCGATTAGCCAGAGTTTTCCATGGACATGCGCGCTCGTCCTTGTGCGCCCTTCTAGTAATCATAGATAGCCGCGAGCGACGAAAGTGATGAGTAATAGTCCGTCTCCTCCCATTCGCAAAGCAGACGGCTCATTGGCAATCAGCTGCAGTCGGAGGTGGCTGTTGAATGCTGTGCGGTTCACTTGGGGGAGAAAACAACGGAGGAGAGGAAGGGAGGATGACAGGCCGCCGGCGACCGGTCGCTTGCCGCCGTTCTCCTTCCCACCCTTTTGGCGTTTCCATTTCCCGTTTTCTACCCGTCCTCTCTTTTCGCATGGGTGGTTCTCTCGCTGCTCTTATCCCTCCCTCCCTCCCTCCCTCCCTCCCTGCCTTCCTCCCTCCCTCCCTGCCTTCCTCTCTGCCTTCCTGCCTTCTTCCGTCGAACCCATCAGACAGATCCCTCTGCTTTTCATATTTTCAAACGATTCGGCAGCAGGAAGAGGAGAGAGAACAGCGGACAAAGGACCCCCCATAATCCACACAGAGCGTCGCAAGACACCACCCCGCAGAGAGAAAACAGTTCACCAGCAGAGACAAAGAAAGCGCGGAGAAGGAGAGAGAGAGAGTAAGAAAGAGAAAAAGAGAGAGAGAGAGAGAGAGAGCGCTCGGCCCTGTCAGAGGCTGTCAGAGGAGGCCTCGCCTTCGCTTGTAGTCATGCACGGTCAAAGTCAACGTGTGCGACCTGCCATCACTCTGCCCCACCTGCACTCCAAATTTGGTCTCCATCAACCGCTTTCTTGCCATGAAGGCCTTGGCCGCTCCTTGCGGCCCTCCGTAGGCCTGGATTCGGTCGAGAGAGATCGGCAGATCGAAGTCATGCGCCATCAACAAGATGGCCCCTCCATCGAGCGGCGGCGCGGGGGTTATAACCGCAACGACCTTCTCTTCCTCCTCCGCATCTTCTCCGCCCCCACGCGCTTGTTTTGCCGCCATAGCCTCCGCTTCGTCTTCTTCCTCCTTCTTCTTCTTCTTCATATCTTCCTCCTTCGGATCGCCAGCCTTCGTCTTTATGTAGTTGTTCGATCTCGTCCATCTCCTCGAAAAGGGGTCGTAGTTCTGGTCCCCCGCCTTGGCATCCACTTGTAGAGTGGCCTCCAGCGACGCGCGGTAGTTCTCCTCCTGGTTCTTCTTGTTCATCATCGCCAGAGCGAGAGCTTTGGCGTCGGAGTTCTGGGTTGTCATCACCTGCATTTCCAGTTCCCGCAGCTGCTCTCTCCACTGCTCCGCCTCCTCTTCGTCTCCCGCTTGAACTGCCAAGTCCAGCAGCTTCTTTAACCTCGACTTCTCCGCCGGCGCGTTGCGCACTCTCCACCCCTTCATCTGCCTCTTCTCCGCCAGCATCCCCTTGACAACGTCCGGGGTGTACACATACTTCCGCGCCTTGTGAAGCCCCTCTACCCTCATCTTCACCGCCGACTTCGCCATCCTCTTCAACCCTAATCTCTTCAGCTCCGTGAACCACTGCTGAAACTCCTTCTCCGTCGCGGCGGAATTGGAGACCATGTACATAGCCCACCTTCCTCTCGCTTCTCCCCATTTGCAATCGAGGTACTTGAAGGTCTTCCTTCCCGCGAAATCGTACATCTTCAGTCTGTCCCGCGCATCAACCCCCACCACCTCACACACGCGGTACACGTTCTGACCGTGGTGAGATCCCACCCCCAGCCGGACCAACACCCCGGTCATTGACTCCTCAAAAAAGGGTTCCATGAACCATTTCTCAAGTTGATTACGTGTCACGAGAATCTGCCTGAGGTCATCGACCGTTGCCTCCCCGCCGCTGGGTTCTTTCCGCCGCCCCTCCGCCTCCTCGTCGTCGCTGGCGTCCTCCCCCTCCCCCTCCCCTCCGTCCGAAGAAGAGGAGGAGGAGGAGGAAGAGGAGGAAGACGACGACGTCTCCTGGGAACCCTTCATCGCCCCCCCGCTTCCCCCCCGCCCCATGGCCGCCGCCGTTAGCCGACGCTTTCCCTCCTCCCCCCCCCCCTTTTCTCCCCTTTCCCCCCCCCCCCCCCCCCCCCCCCCCCCCTTGTTCGCATGATAGGCCTCGATGCTCTCTAACAAGCTCTTCTTCTGGCGTTCCTGGGTGGATCTGACTCGTAATGCTAACGGACGGTCGATATCCCTACTACCGTCCGCCCCGCCCCGGACGGACGACCGCTCGGGGCCGCCGCCGCCACCGAGGCGGCGCAACGACGACTCCCGTTCGCGCGCTTGCGCCACCTCGCGCAGCTTGCGCCGCTCCATCACGCTGTCGCGCCGCTCCGCCCTTTCCGTTAAGATCATCTCCCTGTCAAGCTCGGTCATCGAGTCCAGACGCTGCCGATCTGCCTCATCTTTGTAGAGATTCTCGCCGAATGACAGCTCACTCTCAGAGCCGTCATCCTCCTCGTCCCTCTCTCCTCGACCACCACCACCTTCCTCATCTTTGTCTCCCATTTCCAGCCGCTTCTTCAGCGGCATCCTTGACCCCTTCCCCCGACCGCCATCGCTGCCACCACCACGTCTCTCCTCCCCTTCGTCCTCGTCGTCAGACTTCGCATACCCCCCATCATCGTCTTCGTCATCGCTCGAGGACGAAGTGAAGGTCGCACTACGCCGGCGGCTCTTAAACCCACCTCCTCCTCCTCCGGTCGATCTGCCACCGCCAGCCACCTGCAGCAGCTCATCCTCCAGGTCGAAGTCGGCCATGGCTAAAAGCTTCGACGACACACACACACACACACACAAACCTCCTCCCCTCTCTCCCCTACGCTCTCCCCCTCCGATAACACAACCAGAAGAAACGACCCCTCTTCAACTCTCTCTCTCTCTATCTCTCTCTCTCTCTCTCTCTAATGTCCGTTAATCCTCTGATGCCCCACTAGATTGCAGACGTGACACGCCATCCCCGCTCCTAACCCCATCTGCGCTCCAATCAAAGAAAGACCTCCTGCTTCTCCTCCTCCTCGTGCGAAAAGACTAACACGAATCGAACCCCTCACCGCCTGGTTCCAGTATGCCGCTGGCTGCTTCCAGGATGCGCGATCACTCTCTCCTCCCTCGCCTATTTCGCCCCTTTGCGCGCCGAGCTCCTCTTTCAAATCCCTGTCCCCGTCCTCCCGCCGCTCAATTGCCCATCTGTACGACAGCTCATCAATCAAATTGCCAGCTGAACCTCACACAGCCACTCCTAATCTTCCTTTGACTGTGCGCCATTCCGGGGAGCAGAGACAGGTTCTGTGCTGCTCACGTCGGGGGCCAAAACCCTCGAGCCCATCCAATCCATCTTTTTTTTTTTTCCTGCCCGAGCAGGTGCTAGAGGTGCTGATAAGAGCAGGCACCACTAGCGCCGTCGGGGAGGCTCCATCTATTGGTGGGGAGCAGCACCTACTGGAAATCGGGTCCAGCGTCCCTGTGTAGTATGTGTGGGCCTGACCTGATATGTCAGTGTCCATGCGAGGGCCGGGCAGGTATACAGCCTAGCCATTCTGTTCCTAGGAGTTATCAAATATCATAATGTTGTTGAAACCTTCGACTGTCTATTATTGTCTACCGCGTGGGCACGGGGAACCCAGCCACAGCCCTATTGTCTACAGCGTGGGAGCAATGAAACTAAGTACGTGCGCGCGAGAGAGAGAGAGAGAGTTTTTTTCCATTTGTTGATACGAGAGAGAGAGAGAGAGAGAGTTTTTTTCCATTTGTTGATACGAGAGAGAGAGAGAGAGAGAGAGAGTTTTTTTCCATTGTTGATGAGAGAGAGAGAGAGAGAGAGAGACATTGTTGATGAGAGAGAGAGAGAGAGAGAGAGAGAGAGAGAGAGAGAGAGAGAGAGGCTGAATGGCAAAATTGAAATATGGGTTTAATTGCGGCCACAATCTATTTCGCAGTTAGAATGATTTTTTTTTTTTTATGTAGCGTTTTTCCTTGAAAGATCACAACAAAATCTACGAGTACTCCAATTTTCAGGTTTTTCGGCGTGACGATTATTTCGCAGTGTAAATGATTTTTTGTAAATGTTTTATTATTATTTCTGGAAAGAACACGACCTCGTCTATGGATTCTCAAAATTTCAGATTTTTGTGCATGTTCGTCCGAGCACAAAAAATCGTCAAAGTTGCCTCTTGCAAAACGCCTATTTCATTGTGTTTGACCTCCCTGTTTTGAGAATAGGGGGCTCAATGCCTGGGCCTGAGAGCCCGTTTGCAGTTCGCATACCCTCACTTCTTTTTGGGGTCCGCTTCTACCCGGGGACCAGTCCAACGCCCCCCACTTCTTTTTGGGGTCCACTTCCACCCGAGAGCCGGTCCTTCCTTTTTCCAAAAGTCCCGGTTCTACTAGAGCTAGCTGTAGGTAGTCCGCAATTTTGCCAAGGACCGGTCCCCCAAATTTTTTTGCCCCCTAAGAACCCACTTTGCGTCCTGGTCGCCCACCGCAAAAAATGCGACACCTTGACACAGATGCGGAAGCCCACTATACCGCAGCCTAAGGG